ACAGCAGAATGTGCCTTCTCTCCTTAGAAGCGATACTTGATAAGTGCTTTCGTTCGAGTAAAGTTTTGACATCTTATTTATCAACGGCCATTCCCATTCACTGACATCATTTCGCTCACCTCAATGTTGTGTCATCACTAGTGCTGTCAAATTTTCACGTTCATTTTCAATGATAACATTTTTTCGTTGTTTTCGGCTTTTAATTTTACGATATTTTTTGCTTGTTGGTGGGGATCCTCATAGAAGTGTACGATTCGTAGAGGGTACTTTTTATGAAGAGTGCAAGCGCGAACATTTTCCGGATATGCTTGATCGTTTTCGATATTACTAAATCACATACGATCAGTCAAATGGTCCTACTATATTGATGCTTTGTAAAAACTGTGAAGTTTTTGGATGATAAAGTCTGTTGAGAAATTTCTGGCGGAGAAAATTTCTGTATTCCAAGTTAACGGTACTTCTTACATTGTATTATGTTTCATTCATTCGGGAAGTTATCATGATTGAGCGACCCGTGACTAGGTGAACATTTTTGTATTGTTACCACCTTACCAAGTTGCAACTATTTCATTTCTGATGCGTTTGTTTGCAATTCCGTAATATTGCTAAACACTACTTTAAGCTTGATTGTAGCTGCGTGAAATTTTTCAGGACCACTATCATCAGTAGATTGTCGTAGTTTGTGCAATGATGAAGTCGAAAGAGAAGAGGTTTCTGAAGGAAACGTTCCTTGCGGGGGTACGGCGATCACTGAAAAAAAGTTCATTCAACAAACCGATAAATGAGTTGCTGATGGCAAAGCCGGCTTGTGTTGATTTGAAGGAGGCGAATGAAGATGTTAAAGCTGGAGTGGTACGTGGTCAGGTGAAGGACAGCAATAGCGACGAGATAGTCGAGCGTAGGATGAAGAATGAAACCAGTGAAAATGCGATCGAATCTCGGGATTCTTCAATTAACGATGAAAATATGGAACCAGAAGGTGATCTTCAACGGCAATCGTCTGCAAAACGTGAAGGTCAAGCACGACCAGGTAAATACATAATCATATTTGGTGATGATTATTGGAGAGTGGCTTCAACAATCAGAGGTTGCAAATATCAGCAATTCATTCTAATCTATCGTATGCAATTTTACATCTCTTCTTTCCATCATGTGAAGGTGGTTCAGCTGTCTTCCATTATCAGATAACAGTGGTGGTCACAGAGCCGAATCGGGAACGAGGAAACGGATTCGTTCACGGACGTCATTTGTGTGGAAAATGGTTGAGGAGACCGAAGAGGGTTTCAGTTGTTCATTGTGCGGTAAAAACATCAAGTCAGCATGTGCAACGAACATAACCGCACATATGGTTCGAAAACATCACAAGCAACTTCTGTATGAAAGGCAACTGGACGATAAGATAAGAGCTGATGCAAAAGCTTCGAATCCAAGACGGGTATACCTTTTCACACTTGAAAAAGCGCTCATTTCTTAACTCAATAAAAATTTCGCTCGCCTTAAGTTGCTTGTATAGACCATAAGGACATCATGATTGGTTTTTGTTTTACTGTTACTCACGATCAGTGATATCGTCATTTTAATGAAGGTAATTGAATTCGATGATCGATTGAATCAACAGATCAGTTCTATCAAGATGTGTGCAATTTAGACGATGTCCGTGACGCCTCGTGTACGTACTGGGCAATACCGTTCAACAGCTCTTACGGAGATTAAACTAGATTTTACTAAAATCCAGCCATCCTCCACTCTGAACTACGATCAAAAGCCGCTCGTCAACCAATCTGAACCAACAAAACTCTTGAAGATGGCTATCATTACGTCGAATATGCCAATAACAGTTATCGATAATGACTTGTTCAAGGTGAGTGCAAACAGCCACTTCCATCCAGTTGTTTTCAATTCGTCATTAGCTGAGTCATTCAACTTTCTCACAAGCAATTTCGGTTTGAGTATCACGTGCTGAAAGCTGTCAGTTAATTCATGAATATTCATCTGTTTAGATGAACGAAGCTCACTAAAATTCGTGATTTCAGTGAGTTTAAAATCTTTATCGTACAAAATTTCACTTGTGCTGTCCTGTTTTCAGAGGTATTCATCACTGATCCCGCATTTCACTCCTATCACATCGAACGCTGTGTTCAGTCTGATTGGTAGTGAATTCGTGAGTATGTTTCTTCGAATCAAACAAATCTTGTGCAAAGTTGATGCGGTTTCAATCTCACTCACAATCTCCATGCCAACCGATCCGTTCAGTCGTGCATTCGTATTCATCGTCGTCAACTTCTTCCATCCAGACACATTCCAGTTCACTCGTTATTTGTTGGATATTGTTGAGTTGATGAAAAATTATACGAGCGATTCGGTTAAAGAGAGTGTCGAGCAAGTGCTGTGCACATACGGAATTAAGCATAAAGTTTTTCGCATCGTCGGTGATATCGGACGTACAATACAAGCCAGTCTTGTTGAGCCATTCATCTATTCGTTGCAAGGCAACGGTAAACCGCTTACAAGCGATGAATTCGATAAGTTGTCGACTGAAGAAGCCGTGCAGTTGGTGATCGAAGAGAAATGCGATGCGTTGAAACAGAGTAGTATTGATGGGGGTAACCTACCCGAAGTGAGTGATCTGGAGCAGGCAGCACTGATCAAATGTTGTGAATCATTTGAAGATTACACCCTGTTACCTATTTCGACGTTGATGGCCGTACTACACGAATGCTTCGAAACGAATGTCTTGATGCAAAAACTGAGGGAGTGTGTTTATGATCTGTTGAAGATGTTCTCAAAATCGGCAATTCTTATGAAAGCGCTTATCATGGAAACTGGTGGTAAGAAGTTGTTACTACCTGCCGATACGGACTGGATCACAGTCTACATCACATACAGGTAAATGAATCTAAGTTGGGGATTGTCAGTGATTCCTATGAATTGTTTCCCGTGAATTCTATTTTGTAATTTTTGTTTCCTCTTGGTCGTGTAGTGTGTTGGCATTTGATTTTTGTGTTCCTTTTTTTAAGAAAAATTTCGTTGAAAAACTCCCCAACCAGTTCTTCGTCTGGGATGTGTCAGTTCAACTGCTTGTTTTGTTTGCATTCACTTGATGAATTGACGTCTGTTGACTAAGTGTGAAACGTGCGATTGAGACGTTCAAGACCACATCTGAATAAACATCGAAATTCAATAACCATCGAAAAGTAAGCATTTCCAGATCGTTTATTGAGATATCGCCCGTTGTCGATATCGTATGTGTTCGTAACAATATCACACCGTTGGCTTCTGCACTGACTGAACGTATCTGTGAGGTTGTTAAACTATTGCATAAATTCTATGAGATGACAATGATGCTACAGCAAACTGAACGACCAACCATTTCACACGTACTTCCGGCCGTTCTCGAACTCAGTGAACATCTCATTGTAAGTGCTTCTTGTTCAATTGGTTGTCGTTTTCCCGTTTTTTGCACATTTTGCAAACGAGAACACTTTTTGCCCATTCACACGATACGGTGTTTGAGAACTCCTAAAAAAACCCCGATATTGCTGCGGCAGCCGAATGATTGAAGATGTTTTTTGCAGTAGAACTCAAATATTGTCATAGCTGTCATGTCGAGAAGTCTTTCATTAAGGTATGCGAAAACACGATGTGTGCCGAAGTTGCGTCGTTGGCACGTTCACTTCGTCA